ATGATATACGTTGGTACGTCAATTGATATAACGTTGTGATTGACACGAGACAATGTAATATACGTTGGTATGTCAATTGATACAATGTTGTGATCGACACGAGACAATGTAATATAAGTTGGTATGTCAATTGATATAATGTTGTGATCAAAACGGGACAATGGAATATACGTTGATATCTCAATTGATATAATGTTGTGATCAAAACGAGACAATGGAATATACGTTGGTATGTCAATTGATATAATGTTGTTATCGACACGAGACAATGTGATATACGTTGGTACGTCAATTGATGTAATGTTGTGATCGACTTGAGACAATGGAATATTAGTTGGTATGTCAATTGATATAATGTTGTGATCGACACGAGACAATGTAATATTAGTTGGTATGTCAATTGATATAATGTTGCGATCGACACGAGACAATGTAATATAAGTTGGTACGTCAATTGAGATAATGTTGTGATCGACACGAGACAATGTAATATTAGTTGGTATGTCAATTGATATAATGTTGTGATTGACACGAGACAATGTAATATACGTTGGTATGTCAATCGATATAATGTTGTGATCGACACGAGACAATGTGATATACGTTGGTACGTCAATTGATGTAATGTTGTGATCGACTTGATATAATGTTGTGATCGACACGAGACAAGGGAATAAAAGTTGGTATGTCCATTGATATAATGTTGTGATCAAAACGAGACAATGGGATATAAGTTGGTATGTCAATTGATATAATGTTGTGATCGACACGAGACAATGTAATATAAGTTGGTACGTCAATTGATATAATGTTGTGATTGACACGGGACAATGCAATATAAGTGGGTATGCTTTACGCTATGAATCAAACAGAATGTTCTTTAACAATAAACAAGAGATACCATTATTTAAGTTGGTATGGTAGAGACGAGAGGACATAGTTTTTACCTTGTGATAAACAAGGATAACATGATTCCAGTCTGGTATATATTAGACTTTTGATATATTAAGACAAACCGGTATCTTATATTATAGTTAGGGTTCAGATAGGACTTACCCTAACATGTTAACACAGAGAAGGATGCATATGGAAAGTAAGGTTAAGAAAAAGAGAAATATAACAATTGAGCTGGTAATTTAGTTGGTATATGTCATGCTAAGTTAAAGACAAGAAAGCATGACCTAGTTTATGTATCATGTTATTATATAAAAAACGGTATCCAGTAGGTACAGCATGTCATTATTTCAAATGAAGATAAAAGAGCATAATTGAGCTACCATGTCATAATATAAAAAGGTTGGATATCAAAATACAGTTAGACACAAGAAATGCTGTTGATATGTATTGTCAAAATATAAATTAATTGCATTACATTCAAGTGTAGTATTTATATCTTGTTGGAAGTGATCATTTTCACGAAGAAATAACTCTTAGCACATTAGCATAAGAATAATCTGTTTCTTCTAATAAAAAACGCCATCCGCAGCTGAGAGATGACCTTCGGAAAATGTCAAGTTATGGGTCCATTTTAAACTTTTAAGCGTTTTTAAAAACCATCAAGTAAAAATGAATTATCATTTTTTCGCAATGAAAAGCATATATACATATATTATATAACGTCACCACTAAATTCAAATCGCCTGAAGAGTCCCAAGATGGGTGAAAGCGCTAGTCGATTATAATCTTGTTTTATTTATATATATATATATATATATATATTCATTAAAAAACATTCACTTGAGTTTCTACTCCAACTAAAGTGTAGCCAAACGCATGAAATACACGAGGTATTGGACAAACAATCATAACATATCCTTCATATATCAAAGATCATTGATAAAACCTCTTGTACAACCTAGTGACATGCGCATTTCGTCAGCAGAGGAGCGTGAGGCTTGATATATAGTCATTCCTGTTACATGAAACAACTGTTCTACTAACCCGATAGCTAGGGCGTACTAGCGTCTACAACATAAAATCAGGCTTATTGTTGATATCAAACAAGAGACCAGGAAGGCATGCATCTGGCACTTAGATATGTAAGGTATCATGGTTAATATTATAACTAAATGAAATAGTGCAAACCTATTTATCACATTTGAGGCTAATCATTCACGGAACAGCCCCTTATGTATAACATTTATTATCTGGCTCCAAGAATGCTCCATGGAAAATTTTGTCGAAATGTTATCAATTGGTCATTAGTCTCCTGACCAAACATGTTACAGTACTTATAATCTGTACTTAAGCAGACTGACTTTAGGGGTTGATATATATGTTTCCCTATTGGACTTTGCATTTTTGCCCAAAAACCTAAGCTTATGTCGACATCTCCAACAGAGATTCCCCTTGGCGTAATATTATTTGAGTCCAAATTTAGTCTTACGCTTCTCGCTGTTCTAAAGTGTAAGCATAAACTCATTTGGCTCTTTCAATACTTTCAAATAATATTAGTTGTAATATAATGCTCGGTCTGACAAATAGTTTGATTTCAGTCAACCTTATCAGATCTCATCGCAATAAAACAAGACCTATCCGTATTCTTTGTAACAATCTTCTATCACCTATCCAGACCTGACAGTTTACTTTGTAACAATCCTCTATCACCTATCCAAGACTGACAGTATACTCAGTAACAATCCTCTATTACCTATCCAAGACTGACAGTTTACTTTGTATCAATCCTCTATCACCTATCCAGACCTGACAGTTTACTTTGTAACAATCCTCTGTAACAATCCTCTATCACCTATCCAAGACTGACAGTTTACTCTGTAACAATCCTCTATTACCTATCCAGACCTGACAGTTTACTTTGTAACAATCCTCTATCCCCTATCCAGACCTGACAGTTTACTTTGTAACAATCCTCTGTAACAATCCTCTATCACCTATCCAAGACTGACAGTTTACTCTGTAACAATCCTCTATTCCCTATCCAAGACTGACAGTTTACTCTGTAACAATCCTCTATTACCTATCCAGACCTGACAGTTTACTTTGTAACATCCTCAATCACCTATCCAGACCTGACAGTTTACTTTGTAACAATCCTCTATCACCTATCCAAGACTGACAGTTTACTCTGTAACAATACTCTATTACCTATCCAAGACTGACAGTTTACTTTGTAACAATCCTCTATCACCTATCCAGACCCGACAGTTTACTTTGTAACAATTTTCGATCACCTACCCAAGACTGAAAGTTTACTTTGTGACAATCCTTTCTCACATATCCAGACCTGACAGTTTACTTTGTAACAATCCTCTATTACCTATCCAGACCTGACAGTTTACTTTGTAACAATCCTCTATCACCTATCCAAGACTAACAGTTTACTTTGAAACAATCCTCTATCACCTATCAAGATCTGGCAGTTTACTTTGTAACAATCTTCTATCACCTATCCAGACCTGACTGTTTACTTTGTAACAATCCTCTATCACCTATCCAAGACTGACAGTTTACTTTGTAACAATCCTCTATCACCTATCCAGATCTGGCAGTTTACTCTGTAACAATTTTCTATCACCTATCCAGACCTGACAGTTTACTTTGTAACAATCCTCTATCACCTATCCAAGACTGACAGTTTACTTTGTAACAATCCTCTATCACCTATCCAGATCTGGCAGTTTACTTTGTAACAATTTTCTATCACCTATCCAGACCTGACAGTTTACTTTGTAACAATCCTCTATCACCTATCCAAGACTGACAGTTTACTTTGTAACAATCTTCTATTACCTATCCAGACCCGACAGTTTACTTTGTGACAATCCTCTATCACATATCCAGACCTGACAGTTTACTTTGTAACAATCCTTTATTACCTATCTTAGACTGAAAGTTTACTTTGTAACAATCCTGTATTACTTCTCTTATTATGGAAGTTTCCTTTGTGATAATCCTCTATAACCTACCCAAGACTGACAGTTTACTTTGTAACAATCCTCTATCACCTTTTTACGACTGACAGTTTAATTTGTAACAATCCTCTATCACCTATCCACGACTGGCAGTTTACTTTGTAACAATCCTCTATTACCTATCCAGACCCGACAGTTTACTTTGTAACAATCTTCTATCACCTATCCAAGACTGACAGTTTACTTTGTAACAATCCTCTATTACCAATCTTAGACTGACAGTTTACTTTGTAACAATCCTCTATCACCTATCCAGATCTGGCAGTTTACTTTGTGATAATCCTCTATCACCTATCCAGACCTGACAGTTTACTTTGTAACAATCCTCAATCACCTATCCAGATCTGACAGTTTACTTTGTAACAATACTCTATCACCTATCCAGACCCGACAGTTTACTTTGCAACAATCCTCTATTACCTATCTTAGACTGACCGTTTACTTTGTGATAATCCTCTATCACCTATCCAGACCTGACAGTTTACTTTGTAACAATCCTCTATTTCCTATCTTAGACTGACAGTTTACTTTGTGATAATCCTCTATCACCTATCCAGATCTGGCAGTTTACTTTGTAACAATCCTCTATTTCCTATCTTAGACTGACAGTTTACTTTGTGATAATCCTCTATCACCTATCCAGACCTGACAGTTTACTTTGTAACAATCTTCTATCACCTATCTTAGACTGACAGTTTACTCTGTAACAATCCTCTATAACCTATCCAAGACTGACAGTTTACTCTGTAACAATCCTCTATCACCTATCCAGACCTGACAGTTTACTTTGTAACAATCCTCTATCACCTATCCAGACCTGACAGTTTACTTTGTAACAATCCTCTATTACCCATCTTAGACTGACAGTTTACTTTGTAACAATCCTTTATCACCTATCCAAGACTGACAGTTTACTCTGTAACAATCTTCTATTACAAATCTTAGACTGACAGTTTACTCTGTAACAATCCTCTATCACCTATCCAAGACTGACAGTTTACTTTGTAACAATCCTCTATCACCTGTCCAGACCTGACAGTTTACTTTGTAACAATCCTCTATCACCTATCCAGACCCGACAGTTTACTTTGTAACAATCCTCTATCACCTATCCAGACCCGACAGTTTACTTTGTAACAATTTTCGATCACCTATCCAAGACTGAAAATTTACTTTGTAACAATCCTTTATCACCTACCCAAGACTGACAGTTTACTTTGTAACAATCCTCCATTACCTATCCAAGACTGACAGTTTACGTTGTGATAATCCTCTATCACATATCCAGACCTGACAGTTTACTTTGTAACAGTTTTCTATTACCTATATTAGACTGAACGTTTACTCGGTAACAATCCTCTATTACCTATCTTAGACTGAAAGTTTTCTTTGTGATAATCCTTTATCACATATCCAGACCTGACAGTTTACTTTGTAACAATCTTCTATTACCTATATTAGACTGAAAGTTTACTTTGTAACAATCTTCTATAACCTATCTTAGACTGACAGTTTACTTTGTAACAATCCTCTGTTATCTATACATACCTGACAGTTTACTTTGTAACAATCCTCTATCACCTATCCAAGACTGACAGTTTACTCTGTAACAATCTTCTATTACACATCTTAGACTGACAGTTTACTCTGTAACAATCCTCTACCACCTATCCAAGACTGACAGTTTACTTTGTAACAATCCTCTATCACCTATCCAAGACTGACAGTTTACTTTGTAACAATCCTCTATCACCTATCCAGACCTGACAGTTTACTTTGTAACAATCCTCTATAACCTATCCAAGACTGACAGTTTACTTTGTAAAAATCCTCTATCACCTATCAAGACCTGACAGTTTACTTTGCAACAATCCTCTATCACCTATCCAGACCTGACAGTTTACTTTGTAACAATGCTCTATCACCTATCCAGACCTGACAGTTTATTTTGTAACAATCCTCTATCACCTATCCAGACCTGACAGTTTACTTTGTAACAGTCCTCTATCACCTATCCACGACTGACAGTTTACTTTGTAACAATCCTCTATCACCTATGCAGACCTGACAGTTTACTCTGTAACAATCCTCTATCACCTATCTTAGACTGACAGTTTACTCTGTAACAATCCTCTGTTACCTATCCAAGACTGACAGTTTACTTTGTGATAATCCTTTATCACATATCCAGACCTGACAGTTTACTTTGTAACAATCTTCTGTTACCTATCCAAGACTGACAGTTTACTTTGTAACATTCCCCTGTTACCTATCTTAGACTGGCGGTTTACTTTGTGATAATCCTATATCACCTATCCAGACCTGACAGTTTACTTTGCAACAATCCTCTATTACCTATCTTAGACTGACAGTTTACTTTGTAACAATCCTCTATCACCTATCCAAGACTGACAGTTTACTCTGTAACAATCCTCTATTACCCATCTTAGACTGACAGTTTACTTTGTAACAATCTTCTATTACCTATCTTAGACTGACAGTTTACTTTGTAACAATACTCTGTTATCTATACATACCTGACAGTTTAATTTGTAACAATCCTCTATTTCCTATCTTAGACTGGCAGTTTACTTTGTAACAATCCTATATCACCTATCAAGACCTGACAGTTTACGTTGTGACAATTCTCTATTAACTATTACAGACTGACAGTTTACTTATTAACACTCCTCTATCACCTATCGAGACCTGACAGTTTACTTTGTAGCAATCCTCTATCACATATCCAGACCTGACAGTTTACTTTGTAACAATCCTTTATTACCTATCTTAGACTGAAAGTTTACTTTGTAACAATCCTGTATTACTTCTCTTATTATGGAAGTTTCCTTTGTGATAATCCTCTATAACCTACCCAAGACTGACAGTTTACTTTGTAACAATCCTCTATCACCTTTTTACGACTGACAGTTTAATTTGTAACAATCCTCTATCACCTATCCACGACTGGCAGTTTACTTTGTAACAATCCTCTATTACCTATCCAGACCCGACAGTTTACTTTGTAACAATCTTCTATCACCTATCCAAGACTGACAGTTTACTTTGTAACAATCTTCTATCACCTATCCAGACTTGACAGTTTACTTTGTAACAAATATTATTGTTCATTTAAATCATGGCCTGATACATCCGTAAGTTATACCCCGTTTTAACGGCATAACTCATCCGGTCCTAATGGGGGGTTTAACACTCGTCAATTACCGGACCAGCACTTTACCTTATTACTCTCAATCATGTAGTCTTGGTAGATATTTTTGATCAACATTTCGAGAGTTCTTTCCCTCTTCTGAGCGAAAAGTGGGTTGTTTACAGCTGCTTTCTCCCCGTTGATGACTGGAAAAATATATTGTTAATACGCAGGTAAGTACAATGTTAACACCTACATCTACATCAGTAAACTAACATTTCTAGTATTGTCATGTAAGTTTGTAATAAATAAGTGTCTTCTACATGTTAGTTT